TAATGTAGCTAACACCATTAGTTCTCAAGTGCCAGTTCCATATTAATGCCTGTTCAGGACTATGTTTTCTCAGTCTGTTACAAAATGAGAAAATTAAGAAGAAAATGTGTTTTATTATTAATAAGGTAATTGTATTTAATAAAAAAGCTAATCTTCATTCTTATATTTTTCCTTCATACTTGATGTTACATTTTAAAAATTATATAATAATTTCTAAATTAACTTAATAAATCTTGAGTTTGTTTTTTTGCTCAGCTGTTGTTCAATTATGGTAAAATACACATAACATAAAATTTATCATCTTAACCATTTTACGAGTACAGTTCAGTGGCATTTAATATATTCACATTGTTGCACAACCATCACCACCATCCATATCGAGAACTCTTTACCCATTAAATAATGACTCCCCATTCCCTCCTCCTTCCAGCCTTTGGCAACTGCCATTCTACGTTCTGTCTCTCCATATTTGACTATCTAGGTACCTCACGTAAATGGAATCATACAGTATTTGTCTTTTTGTGTCTGGCTTATTTCATTTAGCATGATGTCCTCAAGATGCTTTCATGTTGTATAAGAACTTCCTTCCTTTTTAAAACTGAATAGTATTCCATTATATGTATACACTAAATTTTGCTTATTCACTCTTCTAATGGACATCTGGTTGGCTTATGCTGCTATGAACATGGGTGTACAAATATCTTTTCAAGACCTTGCTTTCAATTCATTTGGATATATACCCAAAAGTATAATTGATGAATCATATGATAATCCTATTTTTAATTTTTGAGGAACAGCTATACTGTTTTTCCACAGCAGCTGCACCATTTTACATTCCTATCAACAGTGCATAAGGATTCCAACTTTTCCAAATTCCTGCCAACACTTGATGGGTAGGAGGTAGTATCTCACTGTAGTTTTTATTTGCATTTCCCTAATGATTAGTGGTTTTGAGCTCTTGCTTTATTTTAATGTTCTTAATCAGCAAAACAAGAAGTTGACAACTCAGTCTCCAATTTTTTGTAAATGTATTCGTCATTGAAATCTGAAAATCTGAGAACTACCAGTGTATTCTCTGTATCTTCCTCTCATCTTCCATTTACCTCTTCAATTCACTTGTTCGCCTTTGGCCCTCAGTCTTCTCCTGACACCTCTTTCACCAGAGTCAACAAATCATTAACTTATCATTGCCAAAAAGAATGGACCTTCTTTAGTATTTACATGATTAGTGAAAAGCACAGAGGCTCTGGAGTCAAACATAGAATCCTGCATCCTTCAGCATAACACACCACCAAGGAATGTAATTCCTGCCCCTGGTCTTCCTGCAGGGTAATGTCATCCTTTTCCATAGTTTCATTCTCCACCCTCTGCAATGACTCCCAAATTTCTAGTATTCAACCGTGTCAGCGGAAGACTAAGACTGGGAAAGGCACTTTGCAAGGGATGTAAGGATGAATTAGATATGACTCCTGCTCTCTTACAGTTTAGTAAGAGAGAGATTAGGGTAAAGATGTGTCACAGGTGCTATGGAAGAAAGGAATGGTTATTCCCATCAGGCCTGAAGTAGACAGGAAAGGCATCCCAGAAGACTACTGGAACGGAATGAGTCTTTGAAATGTTTACCAGGTGGAAAAGGGGGAGACAAGTGTTGCATGAACAAAAGTCCACCACTGCCTGAGATCCTAGATATATGAAGAATGGGGGTTAGCAATATGAGAAAGCAGGAAGGGGCCCATGGAAGGGGGCATGCCGTGCTCTAAAGTTAGCACGAGAAAGACACTGGTTAGCAACTGAAGGATTTGAGGCTCAGGGAATCATAGGATCGATTCCGCATTTTAGAACTATTGCTCTGGTGGCAGAGTGGAGAGTGGGTTAAAGAAGAGAAGATTCGAGGCAGGGAAATCTCTTCAATCCTTTCAGTAGATCAGGTGAGAGTTAATGAAAGGCCTGAACTAAGATGGTAATAGTGGAAAAGAAGAAAGGGCATACAACACAGGAAACATGATTGTATGAAATTGGTGGGGTTTAGCCACCGATTAGATTTGGAGAAAAGAGAAAAGGAATTTAGGCTGACTAAGAAGTTTCTGTCTTGGATGACTAAACAGACGGTGGTACTATGTGCTCAGATTGGAAACACGTAGAGGAAGAAGAAAAGATGAGTTCAGTTAGGGACACGCTGAAATTGTGATCTTTCTCTGGGACATTCAGGTGGTTACAGAAAGAGATCAAAGGATATTTTTCCATTGATTTTTTTTTTTTTAAGAGATGGGCAGGAGGTGGGGGCTAGAGATACAGATTTGGAAGAATATTTTTCCATTGATTTTTTTTTTTTTTTAAGAGAGATGGGCAGGAGGGGGGCGGCTAGAGATACAGATTTGTAAGCCGGAAGTTGCAGCCTTATGGAGCAGATACAGCAGATGCCCTGCCAGTATCCCCTCCACAGGCACCATTCAGGTGAGGGCTTCTAACTGCAAACACCCCTGTGACTCTGTTGGGAGCCCACTGGGTGGGCTGGCCAACTCAGGGGGTAATGAGGAGTGACTGCTGTAGGGCCTGGGATTGCTTTTGGGGGTAATAAAAATATTCTCAAATTAGATGGTGTGATATTGCATAACTTTATAAATGTACTAAAACCCAGTAAATTGCACACGTTTAAAGAGTGGATTTTATGGTTTATAAATTACATCTCAATTTTTTTAAATTGTGAAGAAAAAAACCCAATGGCTCAGCCTAACTGAACTGCTTAGTTCACAAATGTGCCCATGTTTTCACACCTATGTGCCTTTGCTCACTGTTGCTTCCAACAAGAATTTTCTTTTTTTTTTTCCCCATTCCTCTCCCCGTATTTCCAAATCCTACTCTTTCTTCAAAACCTAGCTAAATTCTCTTTTCCCATGCACTTACCCTTCCCCAGGTCAGGGGAATGTCTTGTGCTTCTCTAACATCTGCTAGCTATTTATTTTGCTTCCTGCTTTTTTTTTTTTTTATACTCTCTTCTCGGTATTAGAGATTTTCACATATCTTGTTTAATGCACTTTAGGTTCCTGAGAACAGCTGTTTTACCTGTAGATCTATTAAGTAAGTGCCTTGCACATAGTAGCCTCTCAAAAAACAATTATTGAATCAATACATCAAGGACTGGAAAGTCTCAAAGGGAATCTAGGAAAAAGGACAAACTAAATTAACATCAATTAGCCTTCAGCTAAACACTTCATCATGATTTAAGGAACTATGAGACAACTTAAAGCCTATGAAGTCAGAATTCTTTCTAAAGATACTTGAGATTTTGAAGTGTATGATCAGAGTACAAATTATAGTAAAATGCTCAGGTCATTCTAGTCTAACTATATTATAAATAAAATCAACATGCCCTGGTCACGTGGCTCAGTTGGTTGAAGTGTCATCCTGTACATGAAAAGGTTGCTGGTTCCATTCTCGGTCAGGGCACCCACCTAGGTTGCAGGTTTGATCCCCAGTGGTCTCATGTGGCAGGCAGCCGATCAATGTCTATGTCTCTCTCTCTCTCTCTCTCTGTCTCTCTCCCCCCCCGCCCTTTCCTCTTTCTCTAAAAATCAATAAAAACATATCCTTGGGTGAGGATTAAAAAAAATAAAATAAATAATATATAATCAAATGGTAAATTATATAAAGCCACATATAAATGCAAATAAAGAAAAGAGAGGTGTTATGTGGAATTCTCTCACACACACATACACAAATCCTTAAGCCTCTAATAGCAGCTTGATTCGTTTAGAAAAGTTGCTTCTAGGAAGAGTTAACATCTGTCTCTTTAAGGACCAGGAGAGAAAATGGAAGTCACAAGTGAGACGGGACTGGCTGTAAACAGCTCCAATGAGGTCCTGGGAATCCTGCGAGAGAGGATATTTGGGGCTGGACTAAAACGTCTGCTGGGAAGTGGAAGGAAGAAAAAGGCAAAGTTAGGTAAGAGCATTCTTTTAAAAAAAAGAAAGAAAGAAAGAAGGCAAACAACTGAATTTACTTTCAATTTTACAGTGAAAGAATGGCAGGATCATCTGAAGAATAAGGTATAATTAGATGGAATGAGAGCTACTACTGGATGCGAGACATTTAGCAGCCTCCCATTCCTGAGAATGTTTTTTGAAAAACATAGCTTCAGAGTAGGACTAGAGTTTATACGATTTTACTTGTCCCATCTTTGATAGAAATTATTTTAAAATCCTCATTTCTTCCCTTTTTTTTTTTTAATCTTCACCCAAGGATATTTTTCTATTGATTGCTTTTAGAGAGAGGGACGAAGGGGAGTGGGGGGAGGACCAGCCAGCGCGAGAAACATCTATGTGAGAAAGATAGTCGACTGGTTGCCTCCAACCCGGGGATGGAGTCGCAACCCAGGTACATGCCCTTGACCGGGAATCGAACCCGCGACCCTTCGGTCCTCAGGTAACGCTCTAACCACCGACCACACCGGCCAGAGCAAAATTCGCACTTATTAACTTTCAATCCTGGGACAGTCATTAAGATGGATGACTTGGTATAAAAAGTAGGGACCCACTTAACTTTCTTTCTGTTCTCAAAAACTGCCCTCTTGACCTCTGCTTGGGGGTGGGAGGATTGTTGACTGCAGCCCTTCGCTTGTTTCCACACCATTTACTTTGGGGGTAACATTTTGACAGAAGGAGAATCAGGTCGTTTCTGGGACAGCTGCTCGGGCTTTTCTCACATAAACCATCAGTGATTGAACACACGGCGTGTTTTCCTTTTAGATCAGCGGTTCTCAACCTGTGGGTCGCGACCCCTTTGGCGGTCGAACGACCGTTTCACAGGGGTCGCCTAAGACCATCCTGCATATCAGGTATTTACATTACGATTCATCACAGTAGCAACATTACAGTTATGAAGTAGCCAGGAAAATAATTTTATGGTTGGGTCACAACAGGAGGAACTGTATTTAAAGGGCCAGAAGGTTGAGAACCGCTGCCTTAGATGCTCACCCGCACTCCCACCCCCGCCCCACTCACCTGGCACTGCCACCTGGATTCCCGGCCAGGAGAAGCCTGGGTCCGTGACTCCTGACCGCACTTCCCTCGGATGGCAGGGGTGCGCCCTCGAATTTAAAGATGGCCAAGTAGGAACCCCGAGACACATGGCAAGGAGCCACTTCAGTTCCCTCTGCGGTCGGCGGGGGCTCTGGATGCGTCCGCCCGGGTGCCGAGTGCTGGGGGCTCTGCCAGCCACCCCCGCGGGGCAGCACCGGGGAGGGGAAGGTGGGGAGCTGGGGGAAGGAATCTCAGGTGGAAACTGCGCTCTGCTCTGCACCCCTTGCGCGGCCCCCGTCCCAGCCGGCCCCTCTGGCCCCCCCAACACCATCGC